GGTGGCGCAAAAAAAAGTATAACTGTTTGATTACATATAGCTCAAAAACCATAAGCAGTAGAACCCAAAATCGAGTTTCATTGCATCCAGCGATATCTAACTTAAATTTTGGTATATTCGACAGGCATTTTCGTCCAAGATTGACTGAGATATGAGTGTTTAAACTTTTGTTAGCAAATTTGAAACGGTCACAAATTAGCTAAAAACGGCCTATTAAACTGATTTTAGCTAATTTGTGACCGTTTCAAAATTGTTAACAAAAGTTTAAACTCTTATATCTCAGTTAATCTTGGACGAATATGCCTGTCAAATATACCAAAATTTAAGTTAGATATCGCTGGATGCAATTAAACTCGATTTATGGTTCTACTGCTCATTGTTTCTGAGTTACAAGTAATCAAACAGTTGTACTTTTTTTTGCGCCACCCGGTATATATATATATATATATATATATGTATATATATATATATATATATATATATATATATATATATATATATATATATATATATATATATATATATATATATATATATATATATATTTATTTATATCTTAAAATTAATTATTGCTACTCAAGTTTCACGCCTTATTCAAGACGATCTTCAGGCAATTAATTCAGTTTGTGTTTGATTCGTCAGCATCAACGGTCGGTCGCTGACGCGTAGGCTTGTCTTGCGTCACAGAATAGAAAATAAGACCAGAAGCCTCACTCAGCCAAAATTAGTGAGGCTTCTGGTCTTATTTTCTATTCTGTGACGCAAGACAAGCCTACGCGTCAGCGACCGACCGTTGATGCTGACGAATCAAACACAAACTGAATTAATTGCCTGAAGATCGTCTTGAATAAGGCGTGAAACTTGAGTAGCAATAATTAATTTTAAGATATAAATATATCTTGCTCTACTTTTGTATTAGTGTTGAGCACTTTATTATCTACTACAACAAAACAAATTATATATATACAAATATATATATATATATATATATATATATATATATATATATATATATATATGTAGTTCAGATTTTTATAGAAATTAAAATGCTGTTCAAAAATCTTTTGTGAAATTTAATGCCCTTTTTCTAATTTCAGCTATCAAAATCATGAAAATAAAATCTCACAAAAATTGCATCAAAAAATCGTAAAATTAAGTACAAATAAGGTAACACTACATGATTTTACTCATTAAGAGCAGAGCACTGAAATTCAATGGGTTAAAAAGTGCAAGACTTTCTCCTCGATGAGTAAAATCCACTGGCGTTAGACAAAGTAAAAGGATAAAGTAGGGCGCATTTGGGCACATTGCTGCTTAATCAAACAAATAAACCTTACCCATCCTCCCTGACTAGCAATCCACTCAGCGCTTGTCTCTGATATAAACTTGGAACTAAAGCTGACCAAATTGTCCAGCTGATCATCCGTGGATTCATCTTCTAACGCGAGTTCGCGTGCGAAGTAACAAACCAAGGCAATCCGTGTCCAACCTCCAGGGTGTTTCTCGATCACTTTGCGAGCGACAGAAGCAAATTTCTCGTACGTTAAATCTTGTAGGCTTACTCGTGAAATTTGCTCGTCAAAAATATCTGGGTACTTTGTTAGTATCTCTTGCGATATCATTTCAAGTCTGACCGCAACTTGACTTTCAGGAGAGAGGACTGGGGAAAGCCGGCGTTCTTGATGACAGGGAAGTTCTAGACTCTCTGGTCTGTGACGTCTGGACCTAAAATGAAGCAGGATTTTATATTAAAATGCTATTTTAAAATCAAATTAGGCTATAATAAATATTGTTTGGAAAAAAAGACGAGATAAATAACAAGTCAAAACTGTGTCACTGTCAGACCTTAAAATATCCGTCAGAGAACCGTCTGATAAAATTTTCAATAACTTTTAGTTTGGGTCAGACATATGCATTGTGATGTCTGATTACCGTACTTCGAGTTCAGTTTGGCTTGGAAATATGTCTGAATGCAGACACAAATCAATACCAGCACAATTTTGAAAAGTCATTTGAATCTTGGCAATGAATTGCCGAACCCACGGTGAAAACACTGCACTTGATTACATATTTCAAAGAACTTACATATTTCCAGTTCACTTTTTATACATTATTCTGATTCTCGGCCATTTAAATTAACGTATGAGCCTCTAGTCCTTGACTAGGGTACATTTTGATTTACGTTGGACAAAAAGTTACAATAAATAATAAATAAATATATTTTGCCCTTTTTGAAAAAAAAATAATACAGTTATCAAAAATTAGTTCTTAAATAATAAATAGAATAATAAATATAAATAGTTAACACAGTTAGGTCGGACACGAATTCACTCAGGTCCGACAAACCTCAGTTTCACTTAGATCAGACAGAATGTCCGATGTCTTCCTCTCTACGTCGGACAATTTCACAAATCGGTCGGACAATGTCTGTGAATATTTTAAGACCTGGAATTGTACCGGATCTTTAATTTTAAATTAAATAAAAAAATAAATAAAACATCATCATATTTACCGAACAATATTATCATCCATGCTTTCCGTTAAAACACTGACCTCCTCGACTTCAACATGTCGCAAAGATTCTATATTAAAGTCCGTAATCCCCTCTTTCAATTCCCGGGAAATTTTTCTTCGCGGCTTTGGGGAGTCGGCGGATTGCGACTGAGCTCTGATAGGGGATCTGGACCGTAACCTGAAATAGGTCTCCCCCTCTGTGTAGGACCGTTGGTGTTGGTATTCACCCATACCCTCGTCCCAAGAGCCGGCTGGTGTACCGGGTGGATCCGATAAATCGTCCATCGATTTTCCACGAAGTTTCAGATACTCATCTAAATCTCTTTTCAAACGCAGTGAATATTGTTTTCTGAGCGACTTTCCTGATTTTGCCAATTTCGCATAGCGACTTCTGTATGCTTCATGGCTCGAGCCATCGCTACTGCCGAGGCTACTGCTTTTCCCAAGAGAGCTTTTTCGGTGTCTGTCGTCAAAACTTACAGTCTTTCTTCTGGTAGCATTTCTCGCTGTTAAATGCTCAATAGGTTGTGAAGAGAGGAAGTCCAAAACGACTAATTTCGTTTCTGTATTCGTAAAATCCGTTTCAAGTTCCAGCGACATGGGTCTTTCGTCGTAATAATTATTATGCCGAGATGGGTTGCTTCTCACACGCCGATGTATCGGATCATTTCTCTGTGCCATTTTAACTTCGATGGCCCAAAGATATATCAGAACGACTAAAATAGATACTCTATTGTTTCAAATGTTTCTGAGAGCGAAATCCTCTTTGGGAAGTAAAAATAAAATTTTTATTGCGGACTTCCTGACTAAACGTACGTAGTTTTTGTTTTACAAATAAAAATGTTTTTGTCTCTACTAGGGATAAATTGGGTTATAATGTGCTAAATAGGAGTATTGGTGAACATTCAGGGTAATTTATATACAATAGTTGATACCCATCACCTAATGTCCCCAGGTCACCTCTGTTACTCCCTAGTTAAT